CAACATGAAAACCTTGGGGCAATGTAAGAATGGCCATATGATATGTGTACAACTAAATAACTTTAATTTTTTATTGGTATAACTAATATAAAGTAAAAATGCAGAAAAGTACAATTGTTTGTACTTTATGTACAACCAAAAACTAGGGACAACTATTTGAAAAAATCCATAATTTTCAATTCATATATAATTGCCATGTGTCAGTTTTTTGAGTTGCATGTCTTAACTAGAGCCAATAATAACAGCGCTGACTGTGTTCTTATTAACATGTGTTTTTTTTTTGTCAAACTATTAACATGTGTTTTAATGTTTTTACACAATAAACTTAGTTGTCCTTGGTAAACTCAGTTGTGTATAAGTACTTTGTTGTCCCTAATAAATCTAGTTGTACTTAAGTAATTCAATTGTACATAACAATATAATTCCATCATACATCATATGCAACAACAAAAGACACTAACATCAACCAATAACCCATTCATTCAAGTTATTAAGACACAAAAATTTTACGAACCACATTGAGATCCTTCCTTCGACAATGTCACTGTTCCGTTACTCCGCCACACATTCTCGAGAATGACACTTTATGTTCTTGTCCTTTGATTCCTAGTCTCCAAAGCTAGAAAAAGGTTGATGCAACACCTTAAATTCTAGGTTCTTTTTACATTGTGAGTTCTTCAAGCCTCTCCATCATCTTCGTTGGCTCTATATGTTTCGCAGAAATATTGATTCTCATGAGTAATAAAAGAGCATCAACATAATGAGCTCTACCCAAGAGAATACCCTTAGCATTGGCCACATTAGCAGCTTTTTTGCATCTTCGAACAGTTCCCATTTCTTCCTCTTGAGCTCTCCCTCTGTTTTAGTATTCAGAGCTGCTCTTTTACCATCTAAGTTTTTAGGTTATTCTGTGTGTTTGTTACGCCGCTTAGCCTCTCTTACTTCTTCTCCTCGAGACACCACACCAATGTAAGTAACATATGGAATCACACTAGTGTAATAATGTAAAGATCAATACGTAGAGAACAAGCAGAACAACTCTTTGTATTTGGTTGTTGGAATTTAATTGTACATAAATGCTTTGTGACGTCCCTAACCCCAATTTTACTTTCAATGTTACCAATTTGATTTTGAATTAATAGAGTTTGATATCTCTACCTTCTTTACTACTAATCAATTCTACAAGATGATAAAGTTGATTATGTTCTAGTGAGGTTCCTTAAAAGAACTAACAATCTTGTCACTGGATTCATAATCAAGTCTACCTAAAGTTGATAAATTACCTAGACAATTATAGGTTAATCAATGAAAAGGAATCTAACAATCACCATATAATCAATGACTATTTCTTTACCTGCTTAAGAAGAGCAATTCTCTGGCAACCTCAGCGCAAAACGAAAACCTCGAGGCTTTGAAGCTATTACTCATCTTAAATCTTTCAAATACCTCTCTAGCAAACATGGAAATTCTCAGTTCACAAATGCTGCAAACGCTTCTTTGTGTGTGAAGATCTTCTGATGGATTGTGCGTGAAGGGCATCTCCTGATATCAAAGACCCATTTGAGTTTTGAGACGATAACGTACGTCTCGTGGCCATCGACGAAAATACCTTCTGCATAACTCTCTAATTCGCTGTCTTTCCGATTCACAATGGTTCATGCTTTCCGATACTCTTCTTCCTCCTCAATTGATCGACCTCGATGAGAAATTTCTAGAGACGGGACTCACCAAATTACAACGATGGTTCTGTATATGTGTCGCGAATTAGTGGATCGACGGAGAGCCATGACAATTGACAAAAGAAAATCATAGAAATTTTGGAAAAAGAGAGATCGCAACCGAAAATTGTAACTTTGTTTGTCGATTGGTATCTGGTTTATAGAGAAGTTGAAGCATGAACGATAGAAAGTTTATCGATTTTTTTTTCTTTTTGGATTGGATCAGAATGAATAATAAAATGGGTGGATACAAGTGGTTGGATATGTAATTTTTGTAACTTTCTCTAACAAAATAGTAATTGTCCACTTTTTTTGTATTTTTAGAAAAATGAAAAAGAAATTCGACTTTTCCAAGAGTAGAGTCTCAGGCATTCGTTCACTTTAGTTGGGGTTTATTAAAGCAATTTCCTTTGGCATCTTGAGAAAAAGAAGAACTGCTTCTATGGTGAGATTTTCTTTTCTCTCGAAACTCATACGATTTTCCTCAACTTTCTACTATATCCTTTGAGAAACTCGAATCTTTCTTGGGTTTTGTGGGTACTTTTTCTTCGAGATTATGCTCAACTTTTAGAGGTCACATTTTAGTTGATTTCGTTCTTTCGTAACAATGGATTTGATTTTGACCTCTTCTTTTTCTGGGATTGGAATGTGAATTGAATGTTTCGTGATGCGTTTTTAGATTTACCTTTTTTTTAGTAGAGTACTTTACGTTTATGATCTTATAGAAATTGATTGGTTTGTGCGAAAAATCTATGATCTAATCAGCTGGATTTGTAACTCTCCTTATCCCAAGAAAGTTCTTTCTTTATCTTCATCTTTGAA